TAGTGGTTCATTAACAATAGAATTTGATAACCAAAAAGTAGAATTCAACATCTTTGATTCTACTAAAAAACAAATTAAAAATCAATCTCTTTGTTCTTTAAATGTTTTTGAACCACCAACACTGAATATTTTTGTTAAAGAAGAACCCCAAAAATCTATTTTGAAAGGAAAATCACCTACTGTTGAGGTGGTGACTAGAAAGAAAGTTCAGCCTTACTGGAAAAGGTCGAAAAACAAAATTGAAACACGGCCAAACAGGGCCTTGAAGCAGGAAAAAAGGGATGTTCATGATCCCACTTAAAATGGAAAATAAAAATAAATAATAACGTCGTGCCACGACGTTAACTAAGGCGCTTCTTGGGAGGCAACCCAAGTCAAGGTACGCATTTTTCTTCTTTTCTTTTCAAATTCTTGCTTTTGAATGTCAACTTTGAGAAAATGGGGGAGAAGTCTCAAAAGAAAATAAGGGAAAATCATGTTTTGAAAGCCTGGGAAAACCTCCGATCGGTCTTCATCACTTAACCGATCGGATCCGCGCTAAAAAGAGGTTAAAACTGGACAAAATTTTCCCCAAGAGTAATGTACCCGATCGGGTCTCGTTACTATACCCGATCGGGTACATGTGAAAAGGCAGGCTGGGAGGAGACCCGATCGAGGGGAAGAAATGAATTAAGAGGATACCCGATCGGGTGTCCAGAAGGCCCGATCGGGTATAATTCCAAAAATGTTAAGTTTTTTTCTTCGAATTAAAAAAACCGATCGAGTAACCCTTAAACTCGATCGGGTGAGAACCCCTGGAGCGAAATTTCGAAAAAAATAAAAGAAAAAAAAAAATGAAAAAAAAAAAAAAAAAAAAAAAAAAAAAAAAACGACGTCATACCCGGTCGGGTATTCGAGTCACCCGGTCGGGTGAATTAATCTGGAAAGCCAGCATATCCTTCGAATTAAATCACCCGATCGGGTATATCAGGCCACCCGATCGGGTACACGAGGTTTTAACCAATCCAGCTCCAAATTTCATCCCAAATCCGAGATTTCAAGCTTCGATTACTCCCCCAATACCTCAACCAAATCACCCCAAATCACCACCACAATTCTCCCTTTACACTCCTCTACACACTCATACCCATCGCTCCTACCCTCTCCCCAAAAAAAACAAAAAAAAAAAAAAAAAAAAATCCGAGATCCCACCCCAACAACCCCAAGTCCGAATCCAAGCTAAAAAAAAAAAGGGACAAAGATAGCACCAAAGAGGAACCAACCGAAAGTTCCAATGCTAGGGAACCAATTCCGGGCTATGAGGATGCCCATTTCTGCCTGAAATGACGGAGACAAGCACTAGGGACAGTGCTTCGAGCTAAGTGTGGGGGAGTTACTCATTGGTACGTATTTATGTTTCATACCTTGTAAACTGGCACTATTTTCTTTCAAAAAAAAAAAAAAAAAAAAAAAAAAAAAAAAAAAACAAATCAATGCTAGTTAGGTTGAAAACCCAAAAATGGGCAATCTAAGCAAAAATGGCTTTAAAAAAAAAATGAGTGAGTGGAAAGGATGGAAAATAAAAAGAGATGCTAGGATGAAAACCTGAAAAGGCTCCTAGGCAAAATGAGAGATATGAGAGAGATATTTGTTTTTACAGGACATCATTTAATCTCTTGAACATGAAAAGAGGAGAAGAAAGAGATGAGCATAGAAGGCCATAAAACCCAAGAAGATATTGTTCGTTGAGCTAAACATTCAATGTAAAACTCATGTTTTATCCTTGGTGGTCTTTTGCTTTTTCTTGTTGATTGTTGAACCCTTGAGGACTTGGAACTGTTAAACATTTGACTTTACTCGAGGACGAGTAAAGAAGCTAAGTGTGGGGGAGTTGACATTCATGTAATTTCCATATTTAAATTTGTGTTTTTAATTAGTTTAGAGTGATTGTTACTTTGGAAATTACACACTTTTGATGTAATAGTTTAGTTTGTAAAATATTTGTAATATGTTTAGATTAGGTTTATTCTGAGCTCAAACAGGTCCAAGAACAATTTGGGGACCATTGGTGAACACCACAAGTGGAAGGAAAGTGCAAAAATGCAAGACAAAAAGTGAAGATTTCGTTTTTGGTCTGTACCCGGTCGGGTATGACCTTTACCCGGTCGGGTACCCTTCTGAAAAATCAAATCGGATCAACCCGGGAACCGAGCAACATGCGGGAAAGATTTTGGCCATGTTCGATTGTCATACCCGATCGGGTGACCGACAGACCCGATCGGGTATGACCTTATTTTTTAGTTTCTGGGCAATTTCCTAAGATACCCGATCGGGTATCCTATATACCCGATCGGGTATCAGACCCTGCAACTCCCAAAAGCCTATAAATACACCCCTTTCCTTCACAATAAAATCACCAATTCACATATACTCTTTAGCTCAGTTTAGATTAGTGTTTTCTTTATATTTTCTATCATGTTTAGTCTCCAAATGAGGAGCTAAACTCTTCCATCTTGGTTTTGCTACTTTGAAGCTTAATGAATTTGTAAGTTGTGAGTTATTCTCTTTAATCTTCTTCCTTGAATATTAATTCTTCCTTTAAATACTATTTCTATATCAATGTTGGGGAGTGTTACTAAGATGACAATTAGTTAACATCTTGACATTAATTATAGTAATAGCTATTTCTTCCTCTATGTTAATATTGGGGAGTGTTACTAAGATGACAATTAGTTAACATCTTGATATTAACTATAGTAGGATTCATCTTCTTTAATATTCTTCCTTGAGTATTAATTAATTCCTATTCATATTTCATATTAATATTTTGAACATTACTTAAAGGATCAACTAGTTTTGTTTCATATATTAATTATTACTAGAATCAATCGGTTAATACGCTTGTTATTAATTCGGTTCTTTCAATGGTAGTAAACTTGGGTTGTTAATGCATGCTTCTCATGATTAATAAGCCAAGGGGAATTAATTATATTGATTAAACCAATAAACCGCTTGTGTTGAGGTTATCAATCTCAATCGTTTTCATCTTGATTTTATTGCTACTATCAAGTTAATATACGGCGCTTGTTCTATATTGACTCGGTAGTAAGTTTTATTAATGAACGCGTCTCGTTATTAATAACTACCCTCGATGAACTGGATATACTCCTCGATTGAGTATTCGAGAGGAAGATAGTTAAAGATATAACCGGGATCGACGAACATTTCATTAAGTGGATAAAAGCAAAGCCAAGTCTTCTTCTCATCAATTAAACCACATAACTCGTTCATCTTCGTGTTTAATTTATTAAACCAAATCAAACTAAAACCCCCCATTTTGTCACTAGTTCTATAAAAAGAAAAGTATTCCTTTCCCTGTGGATACGAACCTTACTTCACTATACTACGTATTAGTGTTGTATTGTATTATTATTTTGAGTGCACATCACGACAAAGTGCACGTCAATATCATCTATTTGTTTTAATTAGTTCTCATCTATAAGGGAGGCTATGTATATGTGTAGCTCTTTCCTTCGATCTTTAGCCATAGCGATCATCATTTCAGAAATGTTGGACGCTTATTTTATGAGTTACTTTTCCTTCATATGTTGGTGGAAATCGATTTATGTGTTTTTTCATGTCCATAGCTTAGTATGTACCAAGTACTACGTATGTAGTAGTACTATTTCCAAATACAATTATTTACTATTAATATTCATATGTTGGAAGAAACGTTGGGTGTGTTTCACTAGTGTAGGACTCTGCGTTAATTTTTATTCAAAAAATTCATTAATACATATACGGCGAAATTTTAAATATATTACATTCTAAGTTTAGACAAAGAAAATATAACTTTAATACATATACGGCGAAATTTTAAATATATTACATTCTAAGTTTAGACAAAGAAAATATAACTTTTATTTTATAAATGAAGTGCTCTAGAAAAAGTATTGATACAATAAAGCATAAGAAATGAAAAATCAAAGGAACATTATTTGAAAATAAAGATCGATGATAAATAACATTTTATCAAATTATTTGAAGATAGAGTTAAGAAGTACACATCCACCAAAACTTTTTAAATAACTTCTGTCTTGGTTTACCACATGAATCTTATTTGATTAAACAATTGATTTTTGAATTGCAATTTTTATCTGTCAAGGAGGGTGTTCGTGGGTTACGAAAAGTTTTTTATTATTATTACAATAGTAAGTATAAGATTATTTTTATTTTTAAAATCATACTACCTCCGGCCCGAAAAGGTTCACCATATTGACTTTTCTTAATCAATGATGAGAAGTTGTGGATGATTATTTTATTTATTATATTTCTATATAATCTATAAATTTTATACTTTTATGAAAATATTTTTATAAGGAACATTTTAATATAATTTTCATATTCAAAATATATAGTTTCGTCTTAAAAATATATCATTGGTCAGAGTTGGCTACCATTGACCACGAAAAGTCAATTTGGTGAACATTTTCAATACAGAGGAGTATTATATTACTGAGTCATATATATGGTGCATATTATATTTGTATGAATGCTAAAATAAAGTTTATTGGCTATGCAATAAATTGTATTTAAAAAGTTAGAAGTAAATGAATTGTGTAATTTAATACCAACAGACATTTATATTTTCGATTCACTTCACATGATCTAAAAGTTGTTTAACTAGTGTATCTGTTATTTAATATCATTTGATGATTTACAAAATCGAGTACTAATTATCTAATAAAGATAATTAAACATTATAAAACTGGGAATTTTTATTTAACAAGTATCTCAAGTCTTAAACAATGAGTTGTTCTATTGTTTATTTGTTTAAGTAATCATAAATTATTTCAGATGTTTCTTTTTTTTATAAGTAATCATAAATTATTTCAGGTGTCTCTAACCTGCTCCAACCTAGTATAGCAGGCCACATTTAAATGCGAACTATGCGGCATAGGCTATAAATGTTCCAAAGTATAGTCGATCTTCTTTTATTAATCTCAATTATCAAATCTTAATTTTAGAATAACAAGATCTACATAACTTAAAAAACCCTAAGGCGATCGGCAACGGCACCTTTCCGTCGTGGACGTCGTCTTCTTTTTCCTAGCCTGGTCTAGGGTGAGTTTTGGGGGGCGGCATCGACTTGTTCGGTGCTTTGGAGTCCCGATTTTGTTAGGTTTTTGGTTGCAGTGAAGCTTTGGAACGAAAGGAGGCTCGTGGAGTTGGGGTCTTGGCGTCGCAGGCTGAGGCAATATTCAGAGGAAGAGGCGAGGTATCGAGTTTGTTGCAGCCGATTGACTCCAGCGGTTGTCTCAATAGCAGAGGAGTAACCGAATTGGTAGAAGGTTCTCATTCGTCCAGTGCAGCAAAACATCGAACTCTGTTGCTCACATCCAACAGTTCTAACCAGGTTGAGGATGGTGCGGTTGGGCATCTGTGGGAGGCCATTCGAGTTCAACAATTCCGGAGAGGGCCAAAGATATGCGCCTAACAGGGCTGCGAGGTATGAGAATTTGTTGCTGGGTTGGGTTTTCGTGGCCTTGTTGAGTAATGCGATGGAGGTTATACCTGTGGTTTTTTATCCGGGTGGTACAATGGTGGGTTCGGGCTTGGAGTATGGGGCTGATTTGGATTTCAGACGGCTAGGGGGCCGGGTGACGCGATGGCTGCGGCTGATCTGGCACGGAGAAATTCAGATCCGGATGAGGGAGAAGCAAAATGAAGAGCTCATGGTTCGTCCCCCTCCCGAACCGCCTCCATGGGGAAACCGTGCAGATGGGGTTCGCAAGAGTGCTTTACTAGCTATTTTTTACCTTTATCAGTCCAGTCTGTTTTGTTATTACTATTTTGGTATTTTTAGGTCAAACAATAAGGGGAGTAGGCTGTTGTTTTTATTTGATTTAGTGGATAGTTTTTTGTATGGAGGCAATCAGGCTGATTCAGCCGTTAATATCCTCGAAGCTCTCACATTTTCAGCGATTAGTCTCGCTCTTTTTGGGGTGGACTATTCTATGTCTGATCTAGAAGTGAGGGGGCCGCTGGGCTTTTGGTCAGGTTGGATTAGAGGGAGTTATTTTATTGTCTGCAAGTTCCGTGATTGTACTGCGAGTTTGAATTTAATATAATATCGGTTTCCTGTCAAAAAAAACTTAATTTTAGAAAAACAAAAAACTATTTTTATAAATTTCCAAATTAAATATTTTTAAATATGTAGAAATTGTTATGAAAATTTTACAAATGTCCTGAAGTTAAATAACATATTTTTTGTCTTTTTTATTTATTTTTCACTAGAATTTCATTTTTTTCTCTTTTTTTCAATTTTTTATTCCTAGTTGTGTTAGAAAGTTATGATTTGGTATTATTTTCCTTTATTCAATTTTACATTTTCTGTTTTCATAAAGTAAGATGTGACTAAAAATTTTATCGCTTTATTCTTCTAGTTTTTTATGAAAATATATTGTATTTAACTATATGCTATATGACGTGCACTTTGTCGTGAGGTGCACTCAAAGTAATAATACAATACGACACTAATACGTAGTATAGTGTAGTAAGGTTCGTATCCACAGGGAAAGGAATACTTTTCTTTTTATAGAACTAGTAACAAAATGGGGGGGGTTTAGTTTTGATTTGATTTAATTAACACTAAGATGAATGACTTAAATGAGTTTAATTAATGAGAAGAAGACTTGGCTTTGCTTTTATCCACTTAATGAAATGTTCGTCGATCCCGGTTATATCTTTAACTATCTTCCTCTCGAATACTCAATCGAGGAGTATATCCAGTTCATCGAGGGTAGTTATTAATAACGAGAAGCGTTCATTAATAAAACTTACTATCGAGTCAATATAGAACAAGCGCCGTATATTAAATTGATAGTAGCAATAAACTTAAGATGAAAACGATTGAGATTGATAACCTCAACACAAGCGGTTTATTGGTTTAATCAATATAATTAATTCCCCTTAGATTATTAACCATGAGATGCATGCATTAATAGTCCAAGTTTACTACCATGAAAGGACCGAATTAATAACAAGCGTATTAATCGACCGATTCTAGTATTCATTAATATATGAAACAAAACTAGTTGATCCTTTAAGTAATGTTCAAAATATTAATATGAAATATGAATAGGAATTAATTAATACTCAAGAAAGAATATTAAAGAAGATGAATCCTACTATAATTAATATCAAGATGTTAACTAATTGTCATCTTAGTAACACTCCCCAATATTAACGTAGAGGAAGAAATAATTATTACTATAACTAATGTCAAGATGTTAACTAATTGTCATCTTAGTAACACTCCCCAACATTGATATAGAAATAGTATTTAAAGGAAGAATTAATATTCAAGGAAGAAGATTAAAGAGAATAACTCACAACTTACAAATTCATTAAGCTTCAAAGTAGCAAAACGAAGATGGAAGAGTTTAGCTCCTCATTTGGAGACTAAACATGCTATAAAAATATAAAAGAAATACTATTCTAAACTGAGCTTAAGAGTATGGAAGAAGGGATTCTTTTTAGTGAAGGAAAAGTGTGCTATTTATAGGTGTTTTTCAACACCTTTGGCCGAGTACCCGACCGGGTAGAGTATCTACCCGACCGGGTACTGATATGCACTAGTTTGTAGTGCATAAATGTGTGTTTTTATATCTATTCTGTGTGGATTGTTTACCGTTTTTAGTTAGTTTTTAAGCAATCATCTTCATTTGTTTGTAATTGATTTTAATCATTTTTAGTAAGTTGTAAAGTAGTAGTAGAGTTATTGGCAAGGAAAAGAAGTGAAAAGAAGAAGAAAAATATCCAGGTGCACAGACCCGGCCGGGTCAGACACTTCACCCGGTCGGGTCTGATTTAACAGACGCAGGTACTCAGGAAATTACATCACCCGGTCGGGTGAGGTATTTCACCCGGTCGGGTCCGACTTGACCCGGAACACCAGAACGTGCCGAAGATCGCCAGAACGTGTAGGATATTTGATTTTGACATGCACCCGGTCGGGTGGGCACTTTACCCGGTCGGGTACCCGGCCAAAGGTGTTGAAAAACACCTATAAATAGCCCCATTTTCCTTCACAAAAAAAACATCCCTTCTTCCATACTCTTAAGCTCAGTTTAGAATAGTATTTCTTTTATATTTTTATAGCATGTTTAGTCTCCAAATGAGGAGCTAAACTCTTCCATCTTGGTTTTGCTACTTTGAAGCTTAATGAATTTGTAAGTTGTGAGTTATTCTCTTTAATCTTCTTCCTTGAATATTAATTCTTCCTTTAAATACTATTTCTATATCAATGTTGGGGAGTGTTACTAAGATGACAATTAGTTAACATCTTGACATTAGTTATAGTAATAATTATTTCTTCCTCTACGTTAATATTGGGGAGTGTTACTAAGATGACAATTAGTTAACATCTTGATATTAACTATAGTAGGATTCATCTTCTTTAATATTCTTTCTTGAGTATTAATTAATTCCTATTCATATTTCATATTAATATTTTGAACATTACTTAAAGGATCAACTAGTTTTGTTTCATATATTAATTAATACTAGAATCGGTCGATTAATACGCTTGTTATTAATTCGGTCCTTTCATGGTAGTAAACTTGGATTATTAATGCATGCATCTCATGGTTAATAATCTAAGGGGAATTAATTATATTGATTAAACCAATAAACCGCTTGTGTTGAGGTTATCAATCTCAATCGTTTTCATCTTAAGTTTATTGCTACTATCAAGTTAATATACGGCGCTTGTTCTATATTGACTCGATAGTAAGTTTATTAATGAACGCTTCTCGTTATTAATAACTACCCTCGATGAACTGGATATACTCCTCGATTGAGTATTCGAGAGGAAGATAGTTAAAGATATAACCGGGATCGACGAACATTTCATTAAGTGGATAAAAGCAAAGCCAAGTCTTCTTCTCATTAATTAAACCACATAACTCGTTCATCTTCGTGTTCAATTTTAATTAAATCATTCAATCAAACCCCCCCCCCCCCTTTATTTATTAGTTTATAAAAAGAGAAGTATTCCTTTCCCTGCGGATACGAACCTTACTTCAATATACTACGTATATTTGTTGTATTGTATTTATTTTGATTGCACACCACGACAAAGTGCACGTCAAATTTGGCGCCGTTGCCGGGGAAAGGCAATTATTTTTCTTTTTATTTTATTTCAAGAAAAATCAAAAAATAATAATTAAATAAAAATATAAAGAATTCTTATTTTCTATTTCTGAGCTTTGTTTGAGTATATGGTTAAACACCGATCTATAAACCAAATCACCTACCAAACAAATCCCGAAACAGAACAAGCCTTCGAGAGGTTTAGGAATTTATTTCCAAATACTTCTTCGGAGGAATCATCAAGCGCTAGTTCTTATTCTAGCGAGAACGAAGAGCCAATCACTATGGCTCAAGAGACAAGAACATTGAGGGAGCTCACAGCTCCAAACTTGAATCAACAACCATTGTGTATTACCTTCCCTACTCTTGATGAGGGTAATACATTTGAGCTGAAATCTGGGCTCATACATTTATTGCCATCTTTCCATGGCATGAGAGGAGAAGATCCGAATAAACATCTTTCGGAATTCCACATCGTTTGCACAAGCATGTGCCCAAACGGTGCCACAGAAGAGCAAATAAAACTGAGAGCCTTCCCATTCTCCTTGAAAGATACCGCGAAGGATTGGCTTTTCTATCTTCCTTCGGGAAGCATCAACACATGGGCACAAATGAAGAAGTGCTTCCTCGATAGGTATTATCCTGCTTCCATCTCATCTTCTCTCAAAAAGCAAATAAGCAACATCGAGCAAAAGGATGATGAATCCTTATATGAATTTTGGGAAAGATTTAAGAAGCTATGTGCTAGCTGTCCCTATCATGGCTACTCAGAACAAGACCTCATCTTATACTTCTATGATGGTCTTGTTGATGATGATAGAAGAATGGTGAACGCCGCTTGTGGAGGCGGCATTGTTAATAAAACTCCTTCACAAGCTATAAATCTTATCTCGGAATTGGCCGAGAACTCACGGCAGTTCGGTCACAGATCCTCAAACCGTAGAGTTGCCGCTGCAGAATCAACATCATCATTGGAAAGTCAAGTTGCCGGCTTGACTTCTTTGGTTAAGGATTTCCTCTTAAAATCCAAGACCCAAGAAGTCAAGGTCTGCGGCATTTGTACACAACAGGGGCACCCCACGGACTCATGCCCAACTCTTCAAGAAGACAATCTAGAACAAGTCAACGCCTTGGGTTTCCAAGGACATCAACAAAGGAGGTACGACCCATTCTCCAACTCTTACAACCAAGGACTGAGGGATCATCCAAACTTGAGGTATGGAAACCCCCAACAATCCAACCCATCTTCTCAACCACCTTTCAACAATCAAGGCTCAAATTCTCAACCTAATATGTCAACTGATGACATGATAAGAGCTTTGACTTCAAACATGGTTACCATGCAACAAAGCATGGGTCAATTTCAACAAACCATGATACAATTCCAACATGAGACAAAGTCAAGCATTAAAAATTTGGAAACTCAAGTTAGCCAAATTTCAAATGCCGTAAGCCGACTTGAAGCAAAGGACTCGGGTAAACTCCCATCTCAAACGGAGCAAAACCCGAGACAACATGTAAATGCAATCATGTTGAGAAATGAGACGACATTGAAAGAATTGGAGAAGAAAGTCCAAAATTTTGAGGAGGTCGACCCTGAAAAGGAAGCTCACTCGGAGGATGGAATCACAAAGGCAAAACCGCCTCCACATTCATCATATGAACTAGTGGCCCCATTTCCCGAGGCATTGAGGGAGACAAGGAAGCTGGACAAAGATGCTGACATCTATGAAACTTTCTCCAAATGTGAGGTAAACATTCCACTCCTTAACTCAATTAAAAGTGTTCCCCGTTTTGCTAAATTTTTAAAAGAATTATGCAAAACAAAAACAAAAGATAAATTGAAAGAAAAACACGAAGTCAAGGTTGGTGAACATGTATCGGCTCTATTTCAAAAGAAACTTCCCGAAAAATGTAGCGACCCGGGCATGTTCACTATTCCCTGCAAAATAGGGGACACCATATTTTCTAAGGGGTTGTTGGATTT